TCTCAGTACTAGCCTTCGGAGCTATGATGCGGTTGGAAAGCTGATCATTTGTTGCATGAAAATACAGGGGAGAATTTATTTTTGTTTATATGATCAATTCGTCGTGTAAATGCGGCATGAACTGAAACCTGGGACCTTGTTGAGTCTCATTATAGCCGTGTCACTTATTGACATGATTAGGAATAACTAAGAATGAACAGGTTCTCCATTTCTGTTATTTCTAGTTTTCTTCGTGATCCCGTTGTGGAATGTTTACTAACGTACGGTTTTAGACTATCGGGATTAACACCTCACACAGATGTTAAATCTGTCGTTTGGCTTTCCAGGTTTTCGAAGAGTATTCTCACTACTAATTTGTTCATTGTTTGTCTGGAACAGTGGGATTACAATCCAAGTGACAGAATGTCGTGAGTGACTCGGTCGTGATTCATCTATGCGAAGAGCGGTGCATAATTTCCCTGTTTCACGTAAAAAGCGCAACTGGTTGGGATTCGGACGTACCACGTAATCATTTCAGCAGCTCCTGTCGTAAACACCTTGGGTACACTTTGTTGACCAACAATCAAATCTGAACCTTGTTTCCTTTGGGAGGAAACTGAGTTCTGCGTCCTCTTTGGGCAATATTCCTTTCAGACTGAATGATTCTGCCGTGATACGAGTGTAGTTGATTGAGACTGTGAAGCTTCAACCACCCCAAACCAGTCCATTTTATATTGGATGCGTTTTTGATCAAATTCATTCCTTTTGATCAAAATTGCTATAGAACCCCAACGGCCAGTTGATCAGTTTATCACACATTTTGAGTTATTAAATCTTTCCGGTCCACGGCTTGACTATCCCTGCGCCGAACATCAGACGCAACTGTTTTCTTTTTGTCCAAAGATGTGTATGTTTTCGTCAACGCCTTTGAAAACGTTGATCTGATGTTCAGAATGTACTGAGTGGAAAATGGCGTTTCCGATTAAGGAAAACGCGTTGCGTCAGCCATCACATGAAAAATTCCAACCCATTTTCGATCCTGTGCAAGTAGTTCACCCTTTCAAAAAGCATACGCTTGCAAGCTGCCTACTTTGGGTGGGACAAACAGTTATCTAGGCCTCATTTCGATCAGACAGTTCCAACTGGTGCACGCGATGTGAAAAGCAACTCATATTAGATGATTCATTTGATGTTTTGCTTTTACAGCTGTACCGAGGGAACGATAATAGTAATAAATGCACTGACATCTGAAATCTTTCAATTTTCGGAATATCCAATAATTCTCGACATGCTACGTTTTGTCTTTCCAGAGTGCCGGACACGAACATTCGCTTAATTAATAACAACAGACAAAAGGTAATCAAGAGTTGTTTTTATAGAGTTGACTCAAGTCAAAGAAAGGCTGTATACACGCAACGATTACAGTAGATAAACGTATAAGCAGCGTGTGATATGTAACAACAGACAATTGGTCAGAGTCCAGGCAAACTCGGTCGGTATGTGAAGCCTCACTGGACCCATAGGATTAGTTAATGGTGGGGGGTACATGTATTCCAGGATCCACAAACTATGTAGGCAGCTAAGACGCAATATCTGATCGCCCACAATCAAGTAGTGGGGTACCACTGAAGTGGGATTACATGTCAAGCTTACGATGGGTTAGCCTTGTTCACTCGACAATTTTAACAATTACTTGGATACGTGATCACCTAATGTATCGTGCCCAACATGCTAGCGGTGTCACTGATGTGTGAATGCTTCCTAGCACCATCAACAGATTAAGTGAATACAGCGTGGGGATTATAATTATTTGAAGATAACTTCAGATCGCTACTTTAGAGCAGTGTCACATGGTAAAACAATCACCGCAGCAGAGATATCTCTTCCAAAAGCTATTCTGATGTATTTTACAGTGGGTTGCATAAATCTTTTGAGGATATGGAAATCATTGATGAACCATTAAATTGGATAGGTAATGGAATGGACCACAATATTCGTTTGTTGCTTACCTTAAAAAACAGTTGATTTATCCGGATAGGCGGAGTTCAGCAAAGTACTTAGGGGTGTGTTCGATAGACAAAAAGCTATTTTATCATACGCACCGGTAATATCGATCCGAACTACACGCACACACACACACACACACACACACATACCTGGACCATAACTGCATCCAGTCATAAGAACGTACGAGGAAAACCAATCCATGTTCCGTCTTCGGGATATAGATGATTAACTAATTTCAACATTGTTCCTTGGCACCGAAATAAATATTTGCTAGAAAAACATCTTTTGTAAACCGCAGTTCCTTACTTGGTTGAACCCATTCGAATAAAATATCAACTGAATTGGTATACCCATGAAGACCCGATCAATTTCTCCCAATCCTTCTCCCGAACGGAAAGTGAAACGAATATTTTCGCAATTGGCCAGCCAATCTCTGTATTGGTATTTTTGTCATCCGTGCTTACGAACGATCAGGGTGTATCAAGGATTTACTCCTTCCGACGCTGTCTTCCACCATGTCTGTTCAAGTTTAACAGCGTGTATCAGTGTTTTGCTGGCATGCGTTTGCCTTTTCTGTGTCATTTTTAGCAACACTGAAGAGGCTACGGTTGATGAATTAACTTTGAAGTTAAGGACAAGCATTCAGTATTGTAGTAGTCTTGTCTCAGTCGTCGTGCGGAAAACCCAGTGGAGATTTTCGACAATCAGCCATTCATTTTTATCTTCAAAACTATGACTTCGGATAGATATGCAGACGAAATCGTTTAGTCTAGGAAGCAAAACAAAAACACAGAATTTGTTCAGTTTATTTTTTGCGATCCTCGCAATTTTCAAGGACACAATCAGTTGGCAAATAGGCTATCTGTAAATTAGTGCCCTTCATTAGCCGGGAGGACATGGATACAAACATCTGATTCGTGTCTCGTATTGAAACAAAATAAATGTTGCATAAAAATCCGAAATGAATGGTGCACTGAATTGATCGCAAGTAAGTTTCTCGCACTACTGTCAAGTCGTAGATTTGTGTCTTTTGCCTCCCTCGATGCATTTAATTACGGGGAATAGAATTACCACGAAATGGAATAGTTCCATACAAGGTGGTCAATGGTGAAGTTTTACGAAAATAAAAACGGCTTTTAGGTCATCATCATACTGCATTTGGCTGCCGGTGGAGAGCGTGATATTGTCTGAGCACTTCTGCACCCTTTGAACAAATCACACTGTACGGATGCATTTCATGCGTTTTTGGCAATAAAGCTGTCTCCAAAGTGTTTGTCAATCACTTTGCCGAAGCAATTATTATTGGTGATGAGGGGAACATGAAAAAAAACCGATTTTTTTCTCCTTTCCAGATCTCTAGGTAACCCGGTTTATCTGAGCGCTGCTATCCGCACTTTGAAGTGTTTGAAGTGTTCCACGGTTTCAAATAACACACGTGCAAGTTTGATTAGTTTGGATTTCACTATTCTGGTGATTTGATCGTAATTAATTTATCTTTACTATTGTCATAAGTTTCTTCGAGCAGAGCTTTTACCGAACCCTGGAGCGTTTCGACTAGCTCAGGTTTTTTGATATTCTTTAGATGTTTCAGTCTGTACTGACAATGAAGGCAAAATTCGTTCTCCACTACTTCCCATTATTTTTACCATCTCGTTCGGGAAATATTTTGATTTCATGGTCCCTGTCACTCTGGATTGTGATATCTACGCCCCGTTTTTAGTTTTGCCCAAAATAATGGCCCTATTAAAAAATTTGAAGTGCAATGAGAGGAGTTCGAAGCCGGGAACACGAGCACATCCTGCATAATAGGCTACACGTGACTGCTTGAACAGTTAACGCTTCTTACGCTACATTTGGTGATCTGTGGGAACCCTTGTGCGAAGCAATTAATGCGTGTGCTACAGACTCGCACACGCGTGTGATTATCCCTCGAGAAAATGTTCCCGTGAACTTATCTTCCATCATACCCCTGGTTCGATGCCAACAAAATGTTACGACCTTGTGGATGCATCAGTAAACTACTCGAGCGAAGCAATTGTGTGAAGACAGCGTACTCCAGAATTGACATTATCGTTTGAAATAGAATCCTTTGATACACATTTATTGTACTATAAATGCTTGTGTACCAACCGGTTTGAACAAATAGAGAGCAATATGAAAACATTAGGTTTCTGTGGCACTATCCGTACTATTATGCTATCCCACGCTAGCGTCATAGTTCATGTGTTTGCACTGATTTATCCTATTCCACAATTAACGATGTTTTTCTTAGAGTTTAAAGAAGATAGCGCGTAAGATATCTGTTTTAAATTTTTTGGGGGGTCAAAATTTGATCGATGAAAAGACTTTAATTGGCCGTTTGATCTGGATACAAACGATGCACTCTCCTCTTCCAAAACGAAGGTCAACTTTTCACTTTAAATAAATAGATTTATTGACCATGGTCTGTGCCACAATAATACGCGTAAAACACCAACGAGGAAGAACACCATCTGAGGAACTACAAATGTGAGACCACCATCTGCAGACAGCCCCCACGTGATCCACTATTCATCCATCGTACCGAAAACCAGGCATCTTTGATTTTCCGTTTTTATCTGACTTGATGAACATACACTGCTTGGGATTGTTACGCTTGGTTAAACGTGCTCGCAAGAGAATTCCAGTAGTCTGTACTAAATTCGAACAGGTACAGTTGTTCAGTTGTGAAAGTTGACCAAGTTCCGGAAATAAAAATGAACGAAATATTTTCTGGACAGCCGACTTGGATTCTACAAACTCATCCAAAAGAATGAATTATGTACAAATGTAAATGACCGCACTGTCCCAAACTATTTAGCAAAACAAAAGATTTCTGTAATTTTCGAAAATGTATGAGTGCTTTAATATGAGTAAATATACACTGATAAGCTTCAAAATATTCGGTATACAATGGTTGGGCCTGATCAAATCAAATCGTAAGCACGAATTAATGTGGTCAGTGAACTTCACTAACCATTCTGTCCCCGGTCACCTTATCCGGATTTGAATAGAAGAACAGCGTATTTGTCCAGGAAGAAGTAAATAAATGACCCCGGCTCATGTGTCACAANGGGTTGGAATGAAGTAGTGCACATAAAGGGTTACAATAACATTAAGTTCATTGATATTCTCTATACAAATAATAAAACTTTTTGGAACGTGAACACTTTCCGTCAACTAAGGCAATCTCATTATACGCTGATGTTTACTATCAATGAGACGAATGGCTTTTCATCGGCACGCAGTGATCGATTCAGCAGCGTTTGGTGTCAAAATGAAAGCCACATGATCAGTTTTTCTATCTTGCTAGGTAAATCCACACAGATCTGCATTAGAGTCCCTTCAAATAGCACTGGATTTATGAGACCATGTGATTCTGAGCCTCTTGTCTCATTCTGTAAAACATGTGCTTGAATAAATTGTAACAGCATCTGTGTACGAACGTACACACAAACACAGAAGCCTATACGCAGCACTGCCGCCGACTGGCATATGCCATGATCAAGTGCGAGATTGCTCGTGATTGGGCTCAAATTTTGTAAGTGAGTTACAGTTTCGAAATGTGCAACATCGCAAGTAGCAAGTGATTGTATTTTTGTATTGAAAGTATTCTAGTGATATGTTCATCATCGATGATTCTGTCTAGCCGAAATAACAATGCTGTCTCAATATTCAGTACACGCAGAAAATATGACTCAGAATTGATTTGGAACGGTGTGTGTGCTCGTGATTGAAACGGGATTTGTAAATTTAATCGAACCGGCAACTGTAGAAAACAGGTCAAAATAAAAATCTAATATTATTTAATCGATCGATAATCCCTGGAATCTACTATGAACGATTTCAGTTCACAACGAGTGGCATGCAGATACACTTAATATCATATTGTGCTTGAAATCTGAGAACACAATATTGAACTATACGTTGATCAAGAATTGATGTTCCTGCGTCCCAATGTAAAATCCCATTTTCGATAGTCGATGAATGTTCACGGTTGACAGGAAGCTATATGCTACCCAGTGAAGGCATAACGGATAAAGTTTTCACAGGCATGCAGAAACCTCGATTGTCATTTTTCAACCTGGACATCTTTGGCACCGTCGCGACATCTAGCTTGAAGTGAGGGGTTGAGATCATGCTATAACAGTTTGGCTAGGCCTGTTATACGGGACGGAGACTTGGAGATTACGAAAACTGGATAAATATAAGCTAGCGGGGTTCCGACACCGTTACCTAAGTCACATTGCACGAGTGTGATGAGGAAGTCAGTCAAGCAATACTGAGGTTAGACGCTAAGACTTAAATAATCGTGACCGTTCACCGTTTCAAGTGGTCGACTTCCATAGACTGCAACATTTGGGACTTGTGTTGCGCGAGTAACCAAAAAGATTTTTGCGTAGCGTGCTGTTTGTCGAGGCATGTGATGGATGGGAAAAATGTAAAAGGTGGACAAACACAGACCCGGTATGAGGGTGTAAAAACACTGACCAGTAGACTTGCTCACATCGCTCGCGTTAGCCTCTCTGGATGAAGATACATTGGGAGCAATGCCCTGATGATTGCAGATACTGAGTGACATGGCTATGGCTACAATTAGGGTAGCGTTTGTGCGCCTATTCAATTTTCATACAATCTCTTGATTTCTTGATTTCTCCATTTTTCATCTTTCCTTTTTTACGTTTTTATCCAAATGAATGAGTCCTGAGATGGCAAACTAAACTGGTGCACAAAAATGCACGGTTAGTGGTTGCCAGATCTGAAAATGGACTTTATCCTTCTTCTCGAAGCGTTGATTCACTTTGTTTTACTTCGTACACTACAAATAGTCTGCATTCTGCCACATTGATGTTTTACCACAATCATATTTAAAATTATTTATGTAAATGGGTTATTGTTTTGAAAGGGTTCTTGAAGCTGTAAATGTTGTCTCTCCTATACTAACAATGCTATTGTGACAGTACAAAACTTTTGTAGATACTGATTCGATCTTGGAATCAGCATTCTCAACTCTAGGTACCATTATTGAACATAATAAATTACTTTTCTCTCTGTTCTGCTACCAAGTAGAAACAATTTTATTGCTACATCACTAATACACCTGCGAAATCGAAACTAATTTTATCAGAAATTCTGGCTTAGACAAAGAAAGTAACTGATCTCCGACCATCCAGGCTTCGGGTGTTTGTTTTACATTTTACTCTCTAAACTTACTGATATGAACCGTCGTATACATGATAGCTGGCGATAGATTGAACGTTACAGAAAGAAATATAAGTTGGCCTCTCGAATGCGATAGAAGCGTTTGTGATGGCTAGTAAAGAGAACATGACAGCCAATTCCTCTTACTCGGGACTTGTCAGCCATACGCTATTTTTGTGCTCCCGTCAGAACTTGAACCGTGAATCGAAAAATTAACTATGTCCCAAGGAGTGAAACCCATACCAGGGTAATTAAAGGTGCATGGTACCTGTAAAAAACCGACTGGGCTAATTCAATTATTCGCCGTCTAAACTAGGTTGTTTGATACGTCACAAATCCGAAATTCCCACACTTAGTTTTCTCGCCTAGTTCAGTTTCAGACAGAAAAATGTTCTGAATGAGACTGAGCATAGGGAAGCAAAAGGTTTGTCCGGTGTACGTTTTCGACATGAATTATCTGATTTATTTTTCAATACTATGCCCCTAATTTTCAGTGATAGTGTAATTATCCACCTAAGCATTAGCACATCAAACCACCCCTCCGGGGAAATCCATCATACAATTGGAGTTGAAATGTTCACTAGGAAACAGTCTCGACACATACATATATGCCGCTTACCTTCCATAGCTTCGGCCAACAATACAATGCCAGGTCGGACCGTATTTTCGTTCAAAGTCTTTCTTGACGTAACTGGCAATATCCTTCTCCATTTCGAATCGATGTAATGCATCGGCACAAATCTCCACCGCATGTTTCTGCATTTCGTTTGTCATATCCGCATTTTTGACCACAGCTTTTTGTGTCATCTTTTAGCAGTTTTCCTGGGATGCTTCTTTCTGTTGTCGCGATCGTACACCTTGACCGAGGGGAATGTGCTCCGGAAGATTCACCGGAAGTATAAAATTTAAAATTTGTACGCCTATCGCTTTATGTTTTTTTCCCTTTCGGGGTTTTATCAAGCACACCCACACTGTGTGATCTGTTGACAGGTTAATGGCTGATCGATCTGTATGTAGTTGGTGGGTACTCGTTTACTTGTGTGTTCGATCAACTGTGACGAGTAAGCTGAAACAGGAATGTGCACAGCATCGGAATCGTTTGTACGTGGTTGTATCATCGGTATTCTACTTCATACACCCCTGCGCAACTCACGTCTCTTTCTGTTACACACACACATACACACACATAGAAGCAAAGCGGCATGGGCTCACATACACATACACATACGCACGCAAATACTTACGCACATGGAAGGAAATGTGTTCGGCAGCACGTATTGGTGCCTACTCTTAGCGTTCTGATTGGTTATTGAAGGATGACACTTACATAACACATTGCACAGCATTCACTGTACTTTTAGCATGTGAACCGGTAATGATTTTTCATAAATGATTTCTCACTTGAGATGATGATGACTTCTCGGTTTTTTTTATCTGATTTCCCAATGACTGCTAAGATGTGTCCTAAATAAAATTATTTTCAACGGAAGTTGGATAGTTGTAAACTAGGAGAAACATGATTCAGGTACCTAATGTCATGGGATTTGGTCACAAAGAAACCAATAGAGAATCAGAAGGACTAATAGGCGGGTATGAGACTTACGTGCATTCTGATCACAGTTGATCGAGCAGAGCTGGGTTAGATTGATCAGACTAGCTTGTTTTGACGCTATGATTCATCCATACT